CTTAAAATTGAGTGACCTTTGAGTATTTGGACATCAAAATCATATAATATGTTGTCAGACAGAGTGATTGCCGTTATTAAAAGAATTATTTTATTGTAAAAATCGATTCGTATTGATTTTATTTCCGATCCAATTAGTTTTCCATATGGAAACTGAATTTACAGTAATGTCTTTAAGTTTGACGGCAATACTTAGAATATTAATAATTACTTAAACTAATCCTTAGTAAAGATTTTGATCGGAAAACAATAGGGTAGATGCCTAATTTTTATTTTAATGTCCATGTCCAGGTAGATTATTTTAAATCATTAGACACGTATTTTTTATTCTCTTACAGAATCGAATACTTTCGACGGTATATTGATTTAAAATGTCGCGTGACGTCAATGTTCAAATTATACGTAGAAATGACGTTTTAGCCCCCACTCCTAAACTTTGATTCGTTATATCTAAGTATTATTTTATCATACAACAAAATAAAAAAAATACGTGTCTAATGTTTTTTCATTACCTAACTTACGGACTAAATAGATTTTTAATTTTCATACCCCGTCATCATCCCAATTGCTAAGGACTGGGTTAAGTAGCCATTAAAAGACCCTGAGTAAGGCAGTGAGTCTTTTTGAGTAAGTAAAAGTAATTATTGTTCAATCTTATTTCTCACTATATAAATACGGTTAACTGTACATGTAAGTTATGTTGTAGATTTGCAAAATATGTAAGCACACTGTAGTAATTATACACGCTGTTATACGTAGTTTTCTTGCCAACATATTGATGTCGTAGATGACCATGCAGCTATTTTTATATCAGGAGATGCCTACCAGTACAAAATTTCTTAGTTAATAATAAAACGTCGTTATTTGTAGGAAATGTGTTATGTTTCAGTCAGATGGTTCGCAAGCTTTCATTTAGGCTGTACTTACATTATTAGTTGAATCTTATGTTGAACTTGACGACCCCAACCACGTTGTGAAGACTGTCTCATTGGCAGATTAGAGAGCGGGATTGCCGAGCTAAAGAGCTGGTTCGATTCCCAGCTTATTAGGCTGTATTTCAATCATTGAAATTCTCAGTTAAGGCATGGTCGATGAGACTGTCCACTAGGAAGGAATAGGTAGATTTACACATAGAATATCCACGAATGTTCTCCATGTAACTGGCGAAATCTGCATGTGTATCTGGGATATAAGCCTTCAGGGATTAATTTCACTTGTGTAAAGCAATTTCTTTATTATTATCAATGATATTAATACTTCACCCTTTTCTTAACTTACAAATCCCAACCTGTACGACTAGGTAGGGGAGGGCCAGCGAGAATTTCGGGAGTTATTTAAGCCCGTTATTGATATATTATGGAGAACACCTATTTAGTATCCTGTTAAATATATCTACTTAATGTTTTATTTCCTGATCTACATAGATTCCAAATAATTCTTCGTACTTTTTTCGTAACATGCTATACTTAGTACTAGTATTCGCTTCTAGCGTAAAACTAAGCAAAATCAATATTTTATTTTTCAAATTACTACCATTTTATTACGAAACAAAGTTGTTTCAAAACTTTGTTAAAAAGTTTTAACCACGTGGCGAGACCACGTGTAGAGGGAGGTTCTGTCAGAACCAGGGGATGAGGTATTGGCGAATAGTGTGAGGCGGTCGTGGAATGGGGTGAGTTGTTGCCTAGAAACGGCGTTGTTTCCACCCCCCCGATCAGCTGCGAAGCGACTACACCGCCGCCTGGAGGAAACCAAGGGCGAGAGAGGACGCTAAACACCAGCTGACAGTAAACTTGTAAACAACAACACTGCAAGTGTTTTAATTCCTCTGTTAGTCTATAAATCCCTTACTTAATATATCAGATATTAATTTTAGTACACTTTGTAAGAAATTCAAAGTGTGGTTTGTGTAATAGAACGAGAAAAGCCTCATATTACTAGTGCGAAATTTAGTTTACGCATCGGTCGGATAGATGGCGCTGAACGACCATGCGTTGGAAATTCGTTTCACTGAGGGTTACTTTAGATTCGTGGCGAGGAACATCCGTACATTTTCTGAATCATGAATATTATTCAAGTCGATATTGTTGGAACTGAACAGGGTGCTTGATTTGATGAGTTAACTGGAATCAATTTATTTTAAGTATATTTACGTTTTTGAAAGAATAGGTACTTATGTAAGAGTACTTTGTAGTACTTGTTCTCAAATTTTTTATATTTAACCTATACCTAATGGCAATCCAATTTATAGGTTTAACCTTGACTAAAATTTTGAAATCAAGAATCTTACTTTGCTCAACCTAACAAACAAGCTGACTGCACAGTTGGCGCGGTTCGATTACCGCACGAACCAACTCTATGTGTGATCCTCAAATTGTTGTTTCGGGTCTGAGTGTCATGTGTATGTAAACTTGTATGTTTGTAAACGCACCCACGACACAGGAGAAAATCCTAGTGTGGGGCAACGTTAAAAAAGTCTTTTGCTTATTGTAGTACATCAGTACCTGTTTACTCTCTTATCAATATACTTACAACTCAATAGTTTAGATGTTTAGTGACAGCAGAGTACAATAATTCGTCACCTACTCGTCCTGCAGGTTTTTCTTCTCTAATTGATATATTTCGTTGCGGGAACCAAGACAGTTACTCATGTCCCTGGGACGCGCCGGACTTCAGTGTTCCGGTGTTTTCATGGTTGTATCTACTGTAAATCCTAACTTACAGTATTTGCAGTGATTTGGGAAGATGTGGCGGGCTTATCCCTTTAAAATATCGACTAGGGGACTCCATGCAACACTAACTTAAAATCGCGGGTTACTCACGTGAACATACTGAGAAAAGCTCTACTAGTTTCAAACCACAGAAAGGTTATTCCTCATGAGCAGCGTAGAGTACATGGCTCGCGATTTTAAGTTAATTTCGTATGCCTCACGATAATTATTATAAATTCATGCAACACGCTTGTCGAGCGAGGAAAATCCCTCTTTTGTAAAGGAGATCCATAGTACAGCCCAGCAATGACTCTCATGGCTCGATGACGTTGATGATTTAGTATACAATTCTACGAATAAGGATAGAGTATATATTAAAAACTTCCTTGTTGGTCTCTGGTTCGAATATAAGGTTATATAAGGAATAATATAGAAAACTCAAATAATTGTATGGCATTAGCCTTATCCACTATTGCATGGAGACCCCATAAAGTCAGTTTTAATTAGGGTTTTGTTTCACAATGTCTAGATAGCTGCTACGTACCAGATAAAGAATTAAAGTCATAATTTGTATGAGATATCTATCACGTAAATGCATCGGGTACTCATATGGAGGTGGGAAACAGACACTTACTATGGCACCTCTGCTTACCCCTTCAGGGATACTAAAGGACGTGATAATGTTTCTTGTACTCTCAGTGTATTTCAATTAGAGCCTGATAAAAGGTAATGTGGTTGTCACACGAAGAATGGCTGAACTTAAATCATATCGTAGTAGTTTCAGTAATCTTCAATTTTCTATGGTTATTTCTTGAATAAGTATTTACGAAACGTAACTTCTAATTTCTTTCATTACATCAGATATTTATTGAAACTTTGCATGATATCTCTGTCTCAAGTCTTTTATGAACAGACTAAACTAAACGTTTCAATGGAAGTCGTGATTTGGTATCGATCCTGTTTCAATACATTTAAGCATAAAATATTATCTTTTTATACGAAGTGTGACGACATGAGTGTCTGTTGATCTATTAACAACTTACGCAGGTTTTATGAAATAGGCCATAATAATAATTATAATATTTGTTTATTGAATAATCAGTTTTACATACATAAACTCACTACCTTGACTCGTGGAGCTAAACAGAAATTGTAGAGCCACCTAGTACGATCCTTATTTAGGTATTTTTTTGCTTTCCATTCTACTCATGTATCTGATTACACAAGTATTTAAAGTAATCAGCATTTAGCCTTCCACGAGTCTCTCCTTTATAGGGTCCGCATACATTTTCCTAAGGCGGTTCCTATCATCGATACCACTAACCTCAATTTTGTAAATCCCTTACGTAACCCTATATATAGATAATACTTCCATCCATCGTGTAGACCATCAAATCATGTTAAAAGTAAAACTGATCATTGGCGTACAATACGACACCTGATAGATCGCTCATAATTAGTACCTACACGTTAATTTTTCCAACTCATTAAAGACCGTGCAGTCATCGGTTTCTCCAGTTCATTCAGTTCAGTTCAGTTATTACATTCAACAAGAGTAATTCTATACATGTTCCGTTCTAATTAAGCACTTTTTACATCTTAAATCTCTTCTCTCTTCTATCATTCTAATACCTCATTTTCATCACGTAGGTACCTATCATACGTCTGTCATTCGCTCTAATGATATTGAAACTCATAGTACCTACCAGCCCCCAAGCCTGTCGACCACAGTTTACAGATCATAGTTTGAAGATGACGTTGTTGTTAAGCCAAAATAAACTTAATCAGACGTTGTGAAATAGGCCCAAATACTAAATTACTATTTAATATTTAATATTCTTTACTAAGCAATTAATAATAGGTATTCATCCTAAAATATACAATACTAGGTACTTACTAGGAAAATTGGAGACGCTTTATTTTTTAGGTCTATTTAATTATCTAATCTATAAACTGTCAGGTACCTATCTTGACAGGTGTACAGTAAAATAAAACCACTCCTATACAATACGATTTATTTTTATGTATAATCAAAATAAGTCTGTACAAGAAACACACATTGCAACATAAACACTATAGCGGGTTCACATAATTACAGTAATGTAACATATTTTGCGTAAGTCATGCCTCGTGTACTACACTTTACATTTGTGCAGTATTAGCGACAAACTTTCCCAATATATAACACAATACAACGTAAAAAGAACAATAATTTTAATACAAATAGAATAAAATATAAAAACTTAACTTATAAAACGGCTTAACCGATTAAAACATTTTTTTTTATTTAGCCAGACGTTATAACTCAAATAATTTTGTATGTGGTAAGAAGATTGTTCGTGTCTGCACAGATTTGTGTCAATCGAACGACTTGTTATTAAAGTTTAAGCCTGTTAGTAAAGAGACAAACACGGGCTGGTTGTTTAACTACACATAAACATGACATGTTCTTAACACATACAACATAGTCCTTGAAATACACAAATTCTTGGGAACCAACTTTCAGTCCAAACCAGTTACCATTCAAAATGCCAATATATTACTTAATATTGATTAGGTATATTGCACGTACATCAAAAAGGTATTCTTATAGATAGTTTGAACGTACATATTATACAACTCAATGTTGATAGTGTATCTTATGCCAAACACGTCAAGTCAACCTTCGCCTAGGCAACATCTACATTATGACAACGCAGTGGACCCTAGATACTTAGATTATATTAAATGCGTTACATATACAGAAGTAAATAAGCAGTAAACTCACACAACAGTAGTCAGGTTGGAAAATTAGGAACAATTTTAGGCTAACGTCATAATGTCAGTTATGAAAAAGTGATTTCTCAAAAACAATATTCGAAATGTTACGATGACAGTATGAATTAAAGTTCTTTTTAATTCTATTTACAATAGTATTTATTTAAATGCCGTAATTGCATAGTTTAATTAGTGAGATTTGGGTTAAAGTTGGAAGTTATTTAAATGACAATGGAATTCGAATGGTCAAATGTATAGTTAGTTTCAGTGCGTCCAACATTATGACGTCATAAACAATCGAAATACAAATTAAATTCGTCGTTTCTCACCAAATACATTACTTGGGATAATTTTAATACGCTTACTTATTATTAGACTATGCTATAATAATAATTTTCATGCAATGTTATCGACTAACTCTGTAGGTACTTCTTGGTATATAATAATTGCATAATAGGAAGGAATACGTGAATTAAAAAATTGACATACTACACTTATTGTAATAATATTAAAGTTAAAGGTCGTAATACAATATCTACGTGGTATCGATATATTGTTGAGTAATTATTTTAAATCTAAAGCGAAATAATAGATCAAGCCTTATATAATGCATAGCCATTGGTCAGGTCTAAGAGCCACTGTTCGCTGGAACATCGCGATCTTGTTAGCTAGAGCAGGCGTCGAGTCGCTTACAATGCTAAGCCTCGGCGAACATGCGAACAGTGACCCTAAGTGGAGCAACTATGCCGAGATACAAAAGTGACATTAATATTTTGGTCGTTATTATTAAATGTGAATTGTTGGAATCAGTATGACTAACAAATGTTATTATAGAAACGTTCAAACTCGGTATATTCGTCATCTTACTTTATATTTATAATACGAATATTGTATAAGTGAGATAAGAATAAAACTACTCGCATATTATGTAACTGACATTGAGATATAACTTGAAAACGGTTCCTATTAGTTGAAAGATATTGACTGGACAATTGACACAACACTTATGATTGGTACGAAGAGAATCGCGGATTTCTTGTATTAGGTAATTTGTCAAAGCATTAATTACGTTACTATGACGTCAGAGCTCACTTATACAAGGATTCATAAGGCAAACTGAGTAATAATCATCAATCTCTTGAATATTATTAAACCTTCTCATTCTACCTACAAAACATCCGCGTCTACGATGCATCACATTATGTAATCACCATTCTTTCTACTACTAAGGTTATTATATCATTTACAGTTATATGACTAGAATACTATGACCTAGACCTACTCTATGTCTAACCTATAACGAACTATTACGCTATCAATTTAACTGTTTACTTTGTTATTAATAAAACGATTTATTTTATATGTATTTTTTAAATTAATCCCGTCTTTATTTTCAATACCGAGATGTCTAAATAAAGTAAAGTAACTAACTATTCTAAAATAATTTCGATAGCCTAAAGTCACTAATATAGTAAATAATGTATAATATATATTCGTTGTGCAAATAAATGTCGAATGAAAACGATTCGTTGTCAAATTTCGATTAATAATTTATATCGTTGTCTCATTAATACTTGTATTCTCTTAAATTTTAATATTGCTGATTATAATCACTTTAATATTCTATATTGCTTTTCGTTTCTAAACCTTATCCACATATTTATATGGCCTAAATCGTATTACTGGACCTACAACAGACGCAATAATCATCGTTGTCTATTCTGTTAATATTTTAATACGTGTAAATAATTTTGGAATGCTTAATGTTTGTAAATGAAGTCGTAGAGTTAAAATATTCCTAATTATATTGTAGATCGATGTGTGCAAGTAAGTAAATGCTAGAATGTATTAAAAAATAATCGTTATCAATAGTACGATTAGTATAATTTGACGGTAATTTTGTACCACATCATTACTGAAATATTGCCTTCAATACGTTTTTAAATAGTCAATACATAGTATTAATAGAATAGAATATTATTCAACAACATCAAAAATTATTTTCGCTCCTATGTACTTTTGATTTTAATCCGTAATCCGTAATTCAGTACAATTTATTGCGTCATAAAGTTAGTTGGGCGACATTTAAACTCGTACAAAATTCACTTGCCGATTAATCACCGATTTTATTTCAATGTATGCGAAAACTCGGATGACAATAAGTTATGGGATTTACGAATAAGGGGACTGATTGGTATTTAAGTGAACATTTTATTGAAGACATTTGACCTTTTGGAAATGTTCTTAGGTACCGTTAGGACGGGATTACTTCGGGCCAGTTACGTAACAGAAATGTATTCTTATCGTTTTCGAATTTTAGTCGAACGTATGAAATTTATAGTGCGTTTGAAATAGCAATATTTCCAACCAATCCGAGTTATTTTGATAACGTTCTAACTGCCATCTATAAAAAAAGGTAAAATCTGATCTTACAAGATTATTGCAAAAACAGTATAAGCGACAGAATGACAGTATATACTAACTTTTTAAGCCAGAAACCTTTTACGTAATATAAGTTGTTGTAGGCCCTTATTCAAACAAGTCAACCTTCATAGAACTGTCGCTTATTCCTTTAGTTGCCATCACATCGGTATAAAAATCGCATGGATTTTTAAAGTTCAAATATCAATATCAATTTTCGTTTAGTTCCTATTCATCCAATAAATAGAAAAACATTTTCAATCATTGTTACTGCAGTATTTCAGCATTTTGCTCTGTCACGACAGCTCTAAATGCATCAAACAATAAAACAGAGCGCTCGTAGCAATTTGCTACGGCGTAGCTCGTTCGTAGCCACTACGATTGGCTCAGTTACGAGACAACTATTATACGAGTGTCGATGAACAACACGTTCCGTAGAATATTATTTTGAATCGATTTCATTATAAAACAATGACGTTCTAAAAATAGTAATTGCCTCATTATTTATAAACGAAAACAGTATTTTCGTAATATTTTTTTTTATCCTAAGCAATAGAAACAACGAAATTTTATAAAACATCATATCACTTTAGTTTCCAGTCTACTTACTTAGCCAAATTTAATTTCCGCATCCCACAACTAAATTTATAAAATAATATTGCTTTTATTATTGCTCTTCTTAGAGTAGTCATATTATTGCCGTATGCTAGGTATTTATAGTAAGTGTCTAGAAATATGTATACTTTTGTAAACGATGTTAGGACTTTGGTGAATGTGATGGAGTGTGCATTGTTTTTGGTGATAATGGAGCTTTGAAGCATTGATGATGTCCGTTCCCAGCTCATTCTAAGTCGTGGAGTGGCTTAGTGTGAGCTCGCAGTTCATGTTACGGTGCACGTGGACTCTGTACTAAACATACAATACGCAGCCATATTGTACGTTTCCCACGGTGTTATTTATTTGATTACTCAGTAAAATCTAATGTAATCCGACAACCAAAGTAGTCGTGGTGAAATATCCCTGCTTCGGACGCTCACGTGCACAATTTGAAGTGTTCACATAAATATAAGCGCGTTAAAAACTGTGTCGCGCCATTTTGCAGGCGTTGCAAAATAATTATTGAAATTGACGGCAAATGTGTTGCTGTGCCAGCGTAACGTTAATGAATTTTCCAAAGCGTTTTTATGTGACCTAAATGTGTTTTCTTTTTAATTAACTGAGGCATACGTAGTCTTTGCAAATGAATTAATTATAATATTGAATGTATGTATGAATATGTATGTATGTATGTAAGTACGTGTTCTGCGTGGCTGAGATGTACATGTGGTGAGTTCGTCTCTAATTTACAATCCTAACTTCGTTTACGGCCTTGACTTTATCTTAATTAATATTGCTTATCGTATTGCTAATTTGGACAATTTTTTAGTTTTATCACTGAGTTTAATTTAATTTAAAGATCCTTATGTATTCGAAGTTACACAACTTCGACTTAACTCGTTGACTTAATGGAAATATTTCGTGTGTACCTTGCATTGGTTAAAGTACTTTTACAATTACATTTTATTTGTATCGTATCTATTGACTAAGGAAAATGGAGGTATGATTTCAAAACAGTTTTGTTAGGAAAAGTATTACCGGCGATGGAAATGGAAAGTTTCGTCGGCGCGAGTTGGTACTGGAGTAGGTAGTTAGGTATATAATACATTATATGTGTACACTATAAAGTCTAATGGTGGACTTACTAACTAAAGTTACCAGATTTTCCGGTCGCTATAGTACAGGTTTAATGTATAGTCATAAAGGTAATTCATTAATTCTACATCTACAAAAATTGTAAAGAAGGGAAATTTGGTACACAGGGACATATTTACATTACGATGTATATTATATATTTTGTATAATATAAGTTGGTTTCGTTATTATTAATAGTTAGTTACCTAACTGCATAACTGCTACAATTACAATAACGTTAGTATAAATATTTGAATAAAATATCTTCGTTTTTAATTTTATTTTACATTACAAGCAATTAGTCTGCTAGTTCTACTTTAGACCAGTAGGGAGAGCTAAGAAGAATAGGAAAGGGTTCCTCGAAGAAGGGAGTATTAGAGGGTATACATAGATCAACTAGACTAGGAGTAAGGCTAGATTACTAGAAAGAAGATGAAAGGGAAGGGAAACCAGTAGGTCAATAGATAATAGACTGTATATAGATTTATTTGAGAACATTCTAAACTGAAGACGTGGTCGCTCTTATAACAATCCATTACTCAATATTCGATGTTAATTTCGTTTCAATTTAGTTCAATATAACTCCAAAGCACCAAAATATCTAATATTCTAATTTTAAATTTAGCCAATCGACTCTACCACATAATATTGCTTATTGATTTACCTTAATATTGCTTTTCACGCGTCACCTTTGTCTGGCGTACCCTAAACGTTATAAAATAAATATTTTGTAACCACATGATCGCCGCTTTGGTACAATGTACCCAAATGTACACTGTCTAATCTATTATTATTTAATACATACTATTTATTATTAATATCAGTATTATTCTTCAATATATTAATGATTAAATGTCTTAGATAAACTAATCAGTCGGCGATCAAAAGGTTAATGTATTACGAAGGGAAGAGAACTATAGTATCTAAGAAAATAGATAAAATGTGGCACTACAGCTACTATTAGGAGTATGTTGGATAAGGAATATAATTACTAGTGTTCAGTTTAGTGCCTCTAGAGGCTCTCCTGTCGCTTGTAAAGTGGGGTTTCAAACAATTTAGTAATAATATTCCAATTATTTTCAGCACACAAAACATACATTGAAAAAGTAACTGTAGTCATTCATCTGATGCCAAATCAATTGATTTATCTCATCCGATAATGTTACCATTGATTTCGACCTAAATATTATTTTTACCAAATACTATGCAATGCACAAAACTAAAAGTCATCTCAAAAGGTATAGAAAATTTTATAAAGGGAAATCCCAAAACAGTTTGCTATAATACAGGAACTTTTTTGAAAAATATTTTAATTGACTGGGTTTAAATAAACACCAACGACGAATTGACTCGAGGCACCAACTAATAGACTAAGGGAAGGCATCGACCCCGCGGGCAGAACTCGAACCTGCCAAATTCAACACTACATACTAGCTGCTACATTCCTACTAATCGCGTTTATAGCGTAATACTTTCGTACGAACGAAATCGAGCCCGTGACGCCGATGTAGGGGACAGCTAACCTCTACGGAGAACTACAGGGTCAATAGAATATGTAGTCTGCTGCGTCTATTTGACAGCGGTGCGCGACTTTACCTACATTATTATTGCTTTTCGAATACCCATTTCTGACCGAGCACCTCGTGCTCGCCTCGTTAACCTACGTTAATGCTACCTTATGCTAAGTTAGTTTATTGCCAGTTACGTTTGACTTGTCACCTAAAGACACACGCTCGACTAAAGGCTTGCACGCTGTGGCGCGCGGCCCTGCCCTGTCGCCGCCACAGGGCGACCGACCCCCGCCTTCGCCCTTCACGCGCCCCCGCACTCTTAACTTGCGAGTTATAGGTACTTCAATTCAGACACTGGTTATTTGTGTAATTTAAATACAAGCCGATCAGATCCGATAATTGAAAATGAAGTATGGATATATTTCAACTTTTCAAGTTTGAAAACAGTTTAGGAATTTATTTAGAATACGAGTAAGGTCCATAGTTTGAGTTAGAGTTAACGCAAACGGTATATGAGAACGTTGCCAGCGTGTTAAGTAGCGAGTAGTAGCGAGGGTGAGCAGTAGGAAGTAGAGAGCGCGCGTGCGGGGGTGGTGCCGCGGCGGGGCGAGAGGTAAGGCACTGTCGCGGGCCGCGGTGCGCTGCGGCGCTGCGGCGGCGTGTGTGCGGAGCTTCGGACGGAAAGTTTTGGCAAGTTCCTCACCGAGACGGAGGAGGCGACCCTCCACCCGCGACCTCGGCGCTCGGCTCTCGCATCTCGACGCTAAACTTACACTCTAATACTCTCTAACCTACTTTGCGGTTGTAAAAATCACCTACAAAAGATATTAGTTTTCATTCATATTTCAATACATCTATGTATATAAGGGTATATTTTATCGACGACTATATACATATTTAATATTAAATTACCGCTATCGGGACGTGTGACGCTACGGCCTGCGGCCGCGTTGGCCGCGGCTCTACGGGGTCGTACGTGATTCGTTGTATGCGAAACGTTGCTCGATTGTGTCGCGGCGCGTCCGGCGCGCGATGCGGCGCCCGCCCGACGCGCTCGCTCCTGTCATATTGTAAATTTAATATTACGCTAAGAAGCTAAATTCATATTAATACTTTATGTTTACGAATAAACCATTCGGCGGTGGTTACGGTCCCTAGTTGCGTCGGCTTGCGTAGCCCTTAGCCGGACGCGGAGACGGGCGCGGCCGGCTCGGGCGACGGCGATTCATCTTCATCTTCTCGCACGCACGCTGACTCCTGGTGCTTGTTTAGATAACTCTTGAGTGCAAACGTCTTGTGGCATCGCGTACACTCAAAATTCTTGTCCGATGAATGCGTTTGCATGTGTGCGCGTAGATTTGATCGATCCGCAAAAGCTTTGCCACAATGTGCGCAGCCATAAGGCTTTTCACCCGTGTGAGAGCGGAGGTGGCCTTGTAGAAGCCATGGTCGCGAAAATAGCTTCCCGCACACGCCACACACGTGTGATAGTTGATGTGTCAGCACGTGCATGGCCAGCGCTGGCATGGACACGTACGCCTTGCCGCACTCGCCACACCGCTTGGCCGCCACCGAGTCCAGGCTGCGGTGCGTCTGCTTGTGGCGCGACAGATTAGATGAAGTGGCATAGCGCTTACCACACTCACTGCACGTATACTTCGATTTCGGTTCAGGTGGTGGAATTGCCTCGACGGGCGCGTTTGCATAGTTTCTGCGCTTGGAACGGCCATCACTGACGAAAAATGCGTCATAAGTGTATGCGATGGTCTCTCGCGGTCGCTCAGTAACTGTTTCTTGTGCAGGTTGTTCGGGTGGTGGCGGCGGGGGTGGTGGTGGTGGCGGTGGTGGCGGTGATGGTGCAGGTGGTGGGGGGGCTGGCACAGACTCGGGGGGCGCCGGCTCCACGCGCGGCGACAAGAACACGTGCTGGCTGAGGTCGAGGATGGCATGTGCTGCGTTGAGGTCCTCTTCGGGGCGGTTGAGGTGTGACGCGCGGTCCACGAGGCAGTATGGGCGGTAGATGTCTTTCTTCTTCGGTGGCAGAGAGAGGAGTGTTCCAGTGCTGGTGTAGCACATGGAGATGGACTTGCCGCTCGCCGGTGGCGGAGGAGGGGAGACAGGCGAAGACGGGAGCGGTACCTGGAGGAAAGGCGGGTCTGTCGAGTCTGAGGCGGAGAGGTGCAGAAGGGCATAGGATAGAGGCTGAAGCGCCGGCTGAGGAGTGGGGGCGGGGCCGGCGGGGGCCGGGCTCACCTCACTCGGGAGCTGGGCGGTAAACTGTGTGGAAGGCCGCTCCTCGGTGTAACCTGCAGACAACAGAAAATCATGTTGTATTATCCTGATTTCTTAAATATTACATTTTTGGTGGACTTAAAAAAAAAGAATTTCAAAAACAATCCACGTATATATTTGTTCATATAGTTCCACGAATTCGCTTAAGACAGCTTTCAAACAAAGAAGAATGTGGCTCGAGAAGCGTATCATTTTGCTATGTGTAAGGAAATTCTGTCAAAGTATAAAGCGGTGACCTGGCGGTCTGATATAAATGGCAGTATGCGGGCATATCTAGTGCCAAGAATTCTTTACAAACGTTCCATCGAGTATCGTCTGCGCGCCAAAAAGGGGAATTAACTTGATAGATGTTGCTGCCGTAAAATAAAATTGAGTAACGATTTTATTGAACTCTTCCTTTTATGTCTTGAATAAACTTCTTTTACATCGCCGAAATGATAACTGTAAGACATAGCGTATTATTATTATTGATCTATTGGAATTATATTAAAGTAAATTTCCCAATTCATAAAAGGATACATTTCTAGAAGTTTGAGAATATCATCACACACGTTTGGAAGTCAATATTGACGACCCAAAAGAAAAACGCGTTTGATTTGTGTTACACTGAAATATCGCTTTTTAATACATTTAAAACCTTGTTGGTTAGTAATAAAGTCGAAAATGTAGATATGGAAAAAATTTAGCAATTTGGTAGTTCGATGTGTGGGCGTCCGTAAACACGCGAGCTGAGTTTGAGGCGAATTTTCCATTCGAAAAATTTAAGTAAATACTGCGACTGCCGTCCGTTTCCGAGCTTTGATTTATCAAACGTGACCTCGATATTGACTTAACGAATATTTACGCTCCAAAAGTTTCAGTACCTGTACAAATGGAAGGTTTTGGTGGTTTCACGTTTTTATTTTTATACCACAGTTGACAGAACGTGTCAATTGCATATAAAATTCTTTGGATATAGGTAAAGTTTAAAAAATATAAAATAAATTTAAATAAAGTTTAGTCTAGTAGTTCAATTTTAAATAATAATAAACCATGTTTTTATTATAACTATCGTACTAAATTAACTTACTACATTAAAGATTAGGCTGTGCGACCGCGCACGCTGCACATAAGGAAGATCCCCTCTATGGTTCGAAACTAGTAGAGTTTTTCTCATTACATTCACGTGAATAACCCGCGATTTTTTGTTAATAATAAAACCTTTAAAATAGAATTCCTTTCGCTAATACGTCTTGGTAAAAGGCAGCCATTTGTAGTATCAGTGAGCGGTATTTCACCGCGGCCTCCTTTATACATTGGAAGTCGTACATCAACCCAGTTTCAGTAAAAAAGGGGGTTGCTAAGAATTATTTCGGGTTCGTTAATAACAGGAGGCGGAGGCAACCTGTAGCACGAGGCTTGAGGCACGAAGCGACCTGTGGCGTACACGTTGTTTAATACATAACTTGAAACTTGACTGGTAGTTATCGCCTTCTTTGTATAAAACCCGAATCTACATACTTCATGCGTCATATTAGTTCATCAACTTTATCTTGTTACTACCTTAACGAGCAGCTGCGACTGCGTTTTTCTAAAATAAAAGTAGCATATTTACCTGCCAAAAAAGTTCCGTCAAAATCGGTCCAACTTTTTCAGAGATTAGCCAGTATAAACAGACAAAGAGACACAAATTAGAGACAAAAAGAGTTATTTTGGTAAATGCACGTATCGTATGTATATTCATATGCATGTAGTAAAAAGCGATTATTTTAATATTACAAACATACTCTACAATTTTATTTATCTGTTTAGATGTATAGATGAGTTGTCGTTGTATTTGGCCATGTTGTCTAAGATCTTAGACTAAGAAGTTTTAATGAACGTCTGCTCACTACTTAGTAGACGCGACGGATCCTTCGTCATGAGTCTTATGTGACGGATTTTGTTCTCAACCCCGCGCACGGATCACGGAACGGCATTCAAATTTGTGTGTAAACTTGTTAAAAACGTGTTTGCATAAAGTTTAAGTTACTTGTTATACTTTACGGCAGTAGGATCACTGAAGGCGAGCGTAGACGCGAAACTTTGTGCGATATTCGCGAATTCACGGTATTTGTCATACCGTGAACTTCGATTTCTTGTTTGTTTGTCGTGTGTCGTGCTCTGATGCAGTCTTAAGTGATTTATCTTAACGAGCTAAAAGTTATTGTCGGACTAACGTGTTTGCTGAGAAAGGCCCTGTTGATACTACCTCTAATTAAGTTTCTATTAGGGTAGGCAGAGGTGCAAATTATGGAACTTAACCCCTTGTCTATTGATGCATGAGACACAATAGAAAACACATAGTGTGTCGCATAGGATTGCGTTCCGACAGTTCACAGGTGAATGCCACTGTACAATGTAATACCCACTCTTTACTATTTGTGAATATATTCTTCGTAGTCGGACGCGAAACAGCTCTAATGAATATTTAATCCAATATGTTGAGTAATGAAATTGTAATATAAAATTGTTTAATAAATCTGTTTGCGAATAAACAATTCCTAGTTTAATTTCAAACAATGTGTACCTACATGTAACAACATTGAACGAGATGAATACGGAATTTAATTTTCAACCAATTTAATAGGACAAAACTGTGTTTATTTGGCTCACTGTTAACATAATAAACATCAGTCGATCATCGATTCAACGTATTCAAATAAAACGGTCGGCTTTGTTTTAATAAATGCAAATTGCTGATGTGCCGTTTGTAAATATTTGTTGTGTACGGCATCGGCCTTCGAATAACGTGATTTATATGCTCTTTCGCTTGTAGCACTAGTGGCCCGTTACGGCTTTGTTTCAATGCCGTTCGCGAAATTTCCGGTGAAATTGTTTTTTGATGTTACACAAACTTTATTCTTATAATACCGAGAGATCAATTCAAAAGGATTTTTCCAATTTGGCGTAGTCATTTAAGAGGTATCCGCGTAAATTTATTTTGTCGATTCATTTTTATACATATGTGTTTAGAACTAATTATTACAAGTATAGATAAGTAGTTTGCAAGCTTCTCTAGTATTGTATGGGTTGTAACCTACAACATACTGTTTTCTTTGTTTCAGTGGAACATAGCAGTGACTCTCATGTTGGCGTTGCAGTTCTTCAACAGTCAACGAGGCTGTTCGTGTTAGACTTCTCGAAGTTTAGGTAAGTGTTAGCATAATTTTATTCTACAGACCACAGCAAGACTAATAAATGCTAACAAAAAGTATCTTAAAAAACTTAATTACGTGTTTTTTCTCTATAGATAGTATTAGTTCACCAGTTGTTATGAGTTCCATGTACCTAATACCTACACCGGGCGCAATTCCGATGTCCGAAATCTGAGATATTTTCGAAACACTTAATTAACCTATCGTGGATTGCTAGATTCAAGAATTGAATATCAAACCCTTGCTCGGCAGTCGGAATTGCGTACTGCTGTGTCTTGCTGTCGTCTGCAATACCTATTTACTAATCTATATAACCCATTTACAATTTCGTAAGCTTTGTCATTTTAGTTTTAATAGATACAAACAAGTTGTATCACTGCATACAATAAAACGCAACGTAACGAGCACATAATCTTAACTAGAATTGTAGTTATTGATACCATTTTGGTAATATAAACCTTCTAACTATGATTTCTTCTATAACAGTATATTAATTCAGTTATTGTTTATACAATAGTTGAATTAATATAGTATAATATATCCTTAAAGTTATGTAAATGATAAAAGACTTAGTTGTATAAACAATTAAGTCTTTTATCTTCCTACATAACTTTAAGGATACTATAATGAAAGCCTACTATTAAAAAAATGCGCTGAGTTCAGTAGCATACGTGTAGGGTCCTCGAGGGAGCGTTAGAGCTTGTGTCGTGTCATCGATCGTTTTTCACCTCTCTGAGGGTGTCTCACTAACACTCACGTGTCTTGCATGTGCAGGCAGTTTTAACCGCAAAATACATGCAAATTAGTGTCATAATTGCGAAAATGCTAGATATAACTAGTTCAAACTGTGTTCAACAAAACACATTTTATTTTTCTCGAATTATTATTTAAAAATTGTTTAAACTATGATACAACATCTTAACTACGTTTAAAAAACCATCTAAAGTCAATAGCAATTGCAAAATATTGAATTTCTCCAAACAAACAATAGATACTAGTACTAGAAAACTTCTTAGTTCAAACAGATATATTTTAAAGACAAGAGCAAGGAAAAATGAACGTTAATATAGAAGTAGGAACTTCTAATATTAATCTTCTCGGCGTATTAGATGAAAGCAAGCTTTTGAGCGCCGTGAGCCGGAGCAGAGGAAGTTTGCCACTCAACGAAATGAAATTGAACAGACAATGTGAGGAGCATTCCTAATGCTAATTAAGGTAAGAAGTTACTGCTTATTTTGAGTATGAATTATATAACCAACTATACATAGGAACTCTCGTGTGTTCGTGAACATAATCGTAGAGTAACTAATAACTTTGAAGGTTTTAAAGTCATTAGCTTATTACGAAAACAAATTGATGTAATCAGTCAGTCATTTTTAATATGGATTGCCTAACATTCAAGCAATGTAGGCATAATTATGGACCGAAATGCTAATGTAGTTCAGGAATGTAGCCTCATTTTAATCCAAATGTCAATTCTGAGTCCGGATAACCGTCAGTGAGTTCAACAAACTGATGATCCTTCCACTTTTTGTGTCTGTAAGCGAAATATATTTTATCTCAGCGCTCGAGCCAACAAATTATTCCCTCTGTTAATAATTATGAAATTGATAAACAATGTTAAGGTATTATTTGATGTATAAACATGATTGCCGAGTTCATTTTGCTGTTTTGCTTTATTAATAAATTTTGCAAGTCAATAAAGCAATTTTGTTCGCATTTAACTGCAATAATTTCAGCATTCAAACCAATTGTTACATCAATTTGTCAACTATAAAATGTATTTCATCATATTAATGCAATTTGATTTCATTTAATAATATTAATTAATGGACACAAAGGAAAATATTAACCGATAATCAAATTAATTATTCGAAATATTGGTGTTATGTTTTCGTTAATTAAAGCTCCCACACAAGGGCTCCGCTTCACAACCGTTCAGGTATACTATAATACTAAAATACAAACACAATTCATATTGCTTTGCGTTTATCGAGATACGCCAACAAAGGGTTCAGTAGTGTTTACACTAAATTGGCTCCGACCATGCAACCCGCTCGCTTTGAATTAGTCCACAATTTTCACTTAAATGCTATCACTTTATCGGTTCTATAGTTAGCTGTGCTCAGTGCAGTCTGCAAGGACGGGTTTAATTAATGGCAACAATGAGCATTACGTTACTGTTACTGCTATACGTGCTTATTACTCGAAGGCAATAAATGAATATTTAATCATACTAAGAACGCTGTCGAGCCCCCTCGCCGTATATTACAAGTTTAATCGATGGGTGCCAACATAATTCTAGGCGTATTTCAAGTAATTCACAATTGCTTGTTATATTTTTAGATTATGATTTACGATCTTACCTTTCTAATCAATTTATGAATTCGTGTACCTAATCCATACGTTAATTAGTTGTTCAAAAACTTAAATGCTTATAAACGTGCAATTAGTAAATTCTATTTAATACAATGCCGACCGAAATGGCCAAGAATGAGCTGACGTCAAACTATGAGGCTAATCCCATTGCTACATCGCCACGAATATTTGACCGTGACATTTCAAGGCGTCTCACAACGGAAATTAACCACTCGTTCGTATGAATTTCTTTCGTCCGTCTAAACAGTACTTTGGCTTTTAAATCGTACCCGTCGATTGGAAATAAGTAGTTTCTTGTTATTATGACATTGCATTACCAAAAACTTTTTTACCTGTAAAGATCATTAGAAATACAGTTTTCTGAAAACCAAGAAAATAATTGAAAGGCGCAATTGTTACAGAAAGTAATTAAAAGCGATGGTGCAAAACAAACGTAACGAAATAAACACAAGGCGCGCCAAATGCTCCGCGTACAATGGCAAAAACAACGCTGGGGAGGTAGGGTACACCGCATTGCACCAGTTGAATCTCACCCCTCCTCAAGGGGGCTATCCCGAGCCCCGACCCCCATTGTCCCCCGCGAGGGTTCTATAGGGTACTTGTTGACGTCCGCACGACTGGGGATGTGAACTGCGTAACCAATTGATTTTTGGCGAAGTCAGCTTTTCTGAGATGAATCTCTAGCGCTCACCAGATCAGTGTCGAGTTCTCCCTGAGTCGACGTGAATAAAAAATTAAGTGTGCATTTTTTATTCATGTTTTATCTATGTATTCATCTGCACGTTTTGCAGGAGGAACATTTTTTATTGGAACGTGCACAGCATTGTAATGGCATATTACTTATCGCTGTTATTATTAATGGTTTTGAAGAGAAAGGGGCCATCTTGTGTTACAACCACTTAATAAACAAACCCACCTGCGAGTGACATTGTAGGCAATAGGTAAAGGGAAATCGAGATAGGTTGTTGTGTGTAGTCTTGTTGGGATATTGGCAACATGAATGCAATTCTCCCGTATACAAGCTGTGAGCAATCAGGCAGGCCAGACGTCGTCGGTTAAAGTGACTTACATTGTCAGCACTAAACAGGGGGTTCAGTCAACAGAGTCTACACACGAACTGTTGGACTGAGATAGTCCTACTCTCAATCGATTGGTTTACTATAACTGCAGACGACGACTTAAAGTTCTGGTATCTACATCATTGATTATTTTTGTATATTCTGTAAACAAGTATTATTCACATATCGAATTTGTAGGCATTTTTGCATACAGCTAAACAATATTTTGTTAACATCAACGAAATTACAAAAAATTCGTAAATGCAAACTTACGTACCTATATGATTTTTACATATTTCAAACTATTCGTAGACCATTATTTAAAAATCGTTGTGAATTCGTGTGTAAACGTGCGATAGTCCGCAAATTATTGGGCGCGGACTATCGGAGTTCGTTCTCGTGTTTCGGGACAAACGCAGCTGTTTGAGTACCTCTGTATTCCCACTAACGGCTGTATGAGGCACAAATGTTAAAAGCTTCGACTAAAATGCCGCCGGATTTTCCAGATACTAAAATAACAAACAAAATTTTATGAAAACGCGTTTATATTGAATAGCAAAATCGACAAATAGTTAATAGTATTTTGTTCAACTGAACAGCTACTCTCAATTTCCGAAATATTCCATATTCGTTAGCAGACCGACTTGCAAACAGACTACATTTCGGTTTTGTTGGCACATTTTAAAATACAAGACTTAATTAAAATGTTGCATTCATTATTGCGGACGAGTTTTCATTCGTAACAGGACATGTTTTAATTAGCAACTTAAACAGCTTGTTACATTTATAATGCAATCGCGGATTTATGACAAACAGTAACATATTAATATATTTGATAATATTCAGTAGACATTTAAACTTTTCACTTGTCAATGAGACTACATACTTTGATCATCGGTTTATTAGTAATTGCACGTTAATAGGATTTTCTGACGAATCAAATCCCCGCTGCGGTTTACGGTCCTCATTTAATTATGTCCGTAATGAGTTTTATTGATATAATTTAAATGAGATTTAGTTAGTGAATAGTATTAACGTAAATTATTGCTTAGAATGTATCCATATGATACCTTAGTACCTTGAATGTATTATGTGCATTATTGAAAAGGGTTCCGAAAATTCATTGCGTATGGACGCCAAAAAGACACTAGAAGGGAATGACTAGACACTTATGTTTTCGTCTATAAGTTATGTGCGGTCCTCCCATTTTTATTGAACCGTCTTCGCATGTATGTGTGGCCTACATTGCTATCTGACCTAGAAGAGATACATTACTGCCCCCACGATTGTTACTTGTAGGCAGGCATACTTCCGATTTTTCCGAGACCCTTTTGTTTTACTGCGGTTCTATTTTGGGAACAGCGATGTGTTTTTCATCCAACATAATCCCCCATTGTTGCAAAACTCCTTTTTCTTTTACGTCATTTTAGTATAGAAACCGTGGTCTCAGGCCAATCTGTACGCGCAGACAAAATAAAAAGTATTTCTTTCATTTAAAGTAAAATACACGTGTTTGGGTTTACTGCTACTAAAAAGTATAAGCACAATTTTCGTCGAGTAAATTCCTTTATTTTTAAACAAAGCCGTAATTAATGTGTAATTCCGAGGTCATATTCGATAATTCCAGTGTCAATACGATGCCAATTAGCAGTGGTCTGCCACCGTATAATTATTCCGCGCGCAATCGAATAATATAATTAATGTTGATTTGTAGATATTCGGAAATGTTCTCTCTAAATCGAAATATTCGACTCGAGAGACGGCTACAGCACTGGTTTGGCTTCATAATTAATTTAGTTTTCGTAGCCTCACTGAGTTGTATGCTAAAGCAAATATTGTTTAAAACTGTAAATTGCATATTGAGATTTTTTTAAATCTCTTATTGAGACGTTACTCAAAAAATGTTCAACTATTTAGAAATACCTTTGGACTTTGAGGGTTTGAAAACTGAACCTGAACGAACTTGAATTTCGAATACTATGGATTTGAAGGTTAAAACCGATCAAGGTGCGTTTTATGTGTGACTGTGTGTGTGTGTGTGGTAGCTGACGACGCAAGAAAAGAAAGTCGTAATCACGTTAGAATTTTAATTAAATAACGAATCACGTCGAGTTATTGGCTTTCTATTTTAATTAAATAAGTAATACCTATGAGCCATGGAATTTGTTACTTTATTTTGGCCATTACTTTTTTAATCGTAATGTTTGCAAAAAAATTACTTTCATTTTAAAAATATTGTCGCATACCCTGTGTTTTTTTTTCAAAGTTCTATTGCACTCTCTTTGTCACTTATTTATCTCATAACTTGATAACGAGACCAAATAAAATATTAAAATACAGACTACTCTATCCAACCTTTTGAAGGAATTCATATAAAATATATAAGGAACGAATTCTACGGCATCGGCATTAGCCACATAGCGAGTGACGCCGGTGACTAAGCATAACCAGTGAGCTATATATCGATCCAAATTACGTAAGTAGCGCACCGGCGATGGGCGAGACGATTTTTCACACGGTTTTTTACCAATCACAGTATGAAATAGGTGGCAGAAAGATCAATATCGCGTGAATAAATGTAGGATATTAATACATTAAAAATATTGGCTACCGATCACAAACAAGTTTTCGGAAAAAACATCGAAATTGTGAGCGACTGTTGTGGCAGTTTGGTAATTTATTCAGAACTTTCGTCTCGTTCATTGTGTGTGTAATTGTTTAGATATATTATATTTTTGTTGACTGCCACTATACATGTTTTGATTCAAGTTGTATTAAATAAGTTTAATTTTATAGTCATGAAACGAACCCTTTAGCGACTTAGTTGGTAGATATTTTTATAGTTGAGATATTGTGATTGGAGCCTCCTTTTATGCAAGTTATGTCTGTGTTAGGAAACTCCGCTCTTTCACAACAAGACATACATAGTTAACTTCTATAAATACAAATACAATCATTAATATTTTATTATGCTTATGTATGTATTAAGCTAACCAATATAGAAGCATCTTATAAAAGTCAGAGAATTTAAACACATCGCTATTACACTTTAAAGCTTGAACCATAAAATCTATCGACCGTGAGTAAAGCAAACATACAGTAAACACTATCAATCAAATGCGCACTATAAGTGCCTAGTACAGTAATTCACTGCACGAAAAACCAGATTACGAGGGAAATAATAGGATTTGCCGATCACTAATCTCGATAAGCTCTTTACATTTTGCAGCATATTGGTAATCTAACTTTATTGAAGCCGATGTTGCATGAAAAATAAAATGTTCAATGTTTTTCTATTTCGTGATTTTTGCCAACGTGTTCGTGTTTCTATTTATCGGTTAAATGGCGCGATCGCGGTGATAAACACCGAGCAAAAAGGAAGACTGGAAAAATATGTGAGAAAATTCTTTCCTCATTTTCCAATAACACGTTCAACATTCTTGTACTTCCTTTGTTGTTTGTGTTCTGATTTAATTATGAAGGCAATAAGACTCATAATTGTTGAGGTGCTAACGAAGCTTTGCGTTTGTAAGCAAAAAGTTGTGCTCTATTTATCGAGGGGGTTTGAAATCTTCTGTGGGTGTGGTCTTTACTGTTTATTATTAAGACACGATTTATGCTTCGTTCTATTATTATTGCATTATTATATAAGCAAGCTAGAAGGAGTAGCGGGTTGCTTCGTTTGCGTTAAGATTCGCCCCCTGTGTGTGTGCTAATGTCCACTGTCCACCTGTACTTAATATCTTGAGACTCACCTTGTCTTTGAGAGCACGTACTCGCCTAAGATTCTGTCCAAAGAAGCATGAAGGATATCGTATGTAAAGTTTGCTCGGTAACTGAATATAAATAATCATAACACCTAAAGTAGAGTATTAATATTAAATTATTGTTAAATGTAGTAAGAAATAGTTATTGTAGTAGTTTAGTTGAAAAAAAAACCGATGCCTTTATATTTTTCGAAGCCTTTTATAGTTCCTAACGATGTATGCGAATATATGTAACAAATGTTTACATCTACACTCGTTGGCTCGTCAAATGCTTTCACTGAACAATAGAGTAGAAATGCGGAGAAAATCCGTTTGTATCTAAACGGTTTTCATTTCAATCCAATAAAGCAACACGCTCGCATAGAGGATGCTCGTCAAACGAACGATTCTAGTCCAACTCACTGCGACCCGATTTTATTAGCCTTTTCACAAAAACAAAGCCTATGTATACTTCTCATTGGTCTAGCAAAAAATCCAATGAGTTTTTGTTTCAAACGTATTCCATAATATCACGCCTTTTATCCCCGAAGTGGAAGGCAGACGTGTATATTATGCCACTGTACAATGTAACACCCACTTTTTACTATTTATGTTATTAGTCCCATGTAATAGGGGATGAGTTTATTGCCATATACCGAGCACAATTCCAGACTGCGTACTACTGAAAACTTTTTAAAAACCCAGTATTACTTTCCCCGTCGCGCTTGCGACCACTCGGTCAACAAGACAGCCAAAAATTTTCCAAACCCAGTTATTCTAATTACAACGTACCGTGGTCTCGTTTGCGACAACATCATTAATAAAGTTTAAAAATATATACTTGTTAAATACGAGTTTTACGTTTTAATCAGTTCTGACTATAAAAAACCTATAAAAGTCCTGTTGTCTTTCTTATAAAAACAAAATTCAATACTGCCAGCATTTTTACGGCCGCTGTACACGTAGGTATAGGGGAGGTCAGTTAACACAACAAAACAAAATTGAAAATCGGTTCCTAACAACGAAACGGGCGTTTTTCGGAACCTGGTTGAATAGAGGAATTCTCGTAAAACCTTTATAGAATTTTATCATACGCGAATATTCTGTTGCCTTGTTATAAATGGA